TTTTATATAACATCTGAACTGACCGTCTGTTATTTTTCTTTTCTTTCTTGCGTTATTGAGAGCAGTGGGCTTTAGGTTGACCTGCAGGCTTTAAACTTGGGTGTGAATGGTGACAAAGGCATTCTCAAGCACATATCAAAGTGCTCATTCTTGAGCCTGGATCAATATTTATTTTTGATTATGTTCATGGTGGAGAATCCTGCTTCACAGCAGCAGGTTGAGCCAAACATAACTAAAATGTGCAGGTTCATCTTTGAGCACGCCATTTTACTTTTCTGTCACCAGCTCACCCCAGTTCTTCCAGCAGTCCACAGTTTATTTCTCTTTTTCTCCTCATATCCTCCATCTTTCCCATCGCCTGGCTTGCAACAGGTTTGCCTGCTGTGTCTAAAAGTAACTAGCAGCAGCAACCCAGACTGACACAGCTCATTGGCTAAGTTGTATCTTGCGCAGCCTGTTCCCGGACGCTCAGGAGGGCTTTACCGTACAAATAGGAGAAGCGGCACAAGTGAAATTAGACACTGTCTTCGGATATATGCAGTAATTTATGAATGTTTTGAATCAGGTTGGCTCCAAATTACCCAGCAGGTGGGTCCTGATCCGGGCCGCGGTCCACTAATCTGCGACCTCTGGACTAGTGTACCCTAAAGACAAATCTCCAGACCATATATGAGTGGAGTGCAGTTCAGTGCAGTGAGGAATGGTCTGATCTTTATATTGGAGAAACCACACAACCTCTCCAAAGATGCACTGCCCAACAGAGAAGAGCTACCTCCTCTGGACAACGCCCGGCTGTACATCTACACCTAATGGACAAATGACATTCTTTTAAGGACCAGAATGTTCACATTTTGGACAAAGAGAACAGGTGGTTTGAAAGGGGTGTGAAGGAAGCCATTTATGTTAAGAAAGAAAAACCAGCCTTAAACACAGGGGGTGGACTCAGGTTTCAAAAACCTTTAATGCAGCGATAGAGTTGATTCCTTCCCACGATCATTGCAACCCCCGCCTGATACAGGGGGACCAAAACACTTTACCTGGTCAGCCAGGCACACAATTCCCCCTAGATATTGCAGGCTAACAAAGAACCCAAACCACTCCCCACCCCTAAGGGTCGGGAACCCGTTCTTACAGTTTAATTTGCATGTTTTTTAAGACAAAACAAATTTTTGTTTTGGGCCACTCTATATAGCCTCAAACTGAATGCTACTTCTGACATTTTGAATTGAAAAAGCTTCCTAGATGGTAAGCAAAACGTCTTCCAACTTGGAAACGAAGTCCACTGGATTGCTTTTAACTTTCTTGGAATTCTTATGGGTTGCTGTGATGTTTGGTTTGCAACAACACTAAGCTGGAGCTTTTGGAGGTGGACCATCACTTGTTCAACTGGATACTGCACTTCCCTACTGCCTACATGTTGTATATGAAGATAAGGGACTTTGTCAATGCCAACACAACCTGAATAAGGGACACTGTTGTGGATTTCCATGGAGACAGACTCACTACACTGGCCCAATAAAAATGTATCAAAAACATAAAAAATAGAGACAACAACAAGAAAAGAAAAAAACTATGAGAGAAGTTATGTAAGGGAGACACACTGAGAAACTATAATAGCAAGCACACAAAACAGAGATGCTAGAGGTGATTTTTAGCTTGATCTATTCTAATCAGCAACCTGACGAGAATCTTAATGATGCATCCTTTTTAAATCAAGTGAATGCACCACATCTAAGTACTACCAATTCATGCTGATAACAACAATGCTTGCTTTTCAGTAAAATCAGAGTATTTGAAATAAAGCCAGAAAACATGCAGTGAGTAATTCATTTTTAAGATGAAATCTGTTATTGTTAGTGCATGTGTTTCTATAGATAACAGTTCACAGGTAGGTTGGAATTCTGGGGTAAATGCGATGATTTCAAAATCAATTAAATTCCTTCAGATTAGCACAACTCAAACTCTTTGGAGACTCTCTAAGTTAGCTGAATGGCTCTTTGCACAACTCCAATACTCCTTGAACTTAAGGCAGATATTTTGTTTCCTGTCTTTCATTACCAGATTAACTGATTAACCCAGGTGTGTCTGTCCATGGTTACTGGGGTCAGCCACACCTGGATTAATCAGTTAATCCAGTAGAAAAAGACAGGAAACAACAGAGCTGCCCTAAGTTTAGCAAGTAGTGGAATTGAGCATAGAGCCCATTGACTAAACAGGTCTTGAAATAGGACTGAGCTTTCAACATACAACAGTAATGCTGGAGATGCAATGCATTAGATTTTTCTTGGGTTTGAATACTGTCCAAGTATATTTTGGCATGGAGTTTATACATTCTCCTTGGTTAATGCATGGGCTCTCACTGGGTACTAAGGCTTCCTCTCTCCATCCAAAAATATGACTGTTTGCTAGATTGGGGACTCTAAATTGTTCATGGGTGTGAGTGTGTGCACAGCTGTATGTCTCTGTGTTGTTCCCCTGCTGAACTATTGACATGTGCAGGATGTATCTGACTTTTTGCCCACAGAATGCTGGATTTAGGCATCAGCCTCCCATGGCCCCAAAGGATAAGAGGTGGATGGATGGACACAGAAATATATTTGAGAGCAAAAAATAGAAAGGTCAGTTGTAAATTAAACTTGCTCTGATCTATAAGAAACGCCTTTATTGTCCCACACAGAGGAAATCGGGGACAATAAGGTGTGACAAATTCAAAAACAAGAAGACAGATGATAAAAAAACAACAACACTAAATTGAGACAATTAGGCAATTTTTTTTTCTTTTTTTTGTATTTAGCTAACTTGACTCTGTTATTATCAATGTGGATATTAAAACAAAAAAGCCCCTAAATATTGTGGCAGCTTTAATCCGTCCAGACATTGAAATGAGATGGGGAGGGTGAAGGTGATAATGGGGACTCATATCCGTTTTCAAATCTGTCTGTATTTTAAAACATCATTTTGGGTGGAGGTTCTGCTTTCAACTGGTTCTTTTTGCAGATGCACAAACAAAGCCCAAAATGTGATGTTTTCGTATCTGAGTAATTGTCAGTATTACCTTTAGTTTCAAGTATAGGTATATTGACCAGATTATGTTGAAATATAATGGTGAAAAATGTACTACATTAAATAAACAGTGCTTGTTTCGAAAACTAGAAGTTAGATAATGGTCTCCGTGTTAAAGCAATTTGATCAGTCCAGTCAGGCATGCTGTAATGATCCCAACCGTGGGTCGCTGGAATGTTGTCACACTCACTACAATCTGCTGGAAATGACTGCAAGAAAACATCTGATATTGGCTTTGATGTGGTTTCATTATGTGAAATACAAAACCCCCACTTTGGCTAAAATGAACTGTTATGAAGGCTGTTTTGACGAAAGACCAATTGCAGAAGAATGCAGCAGGTTGAAGAAAACCTGATTATTTACAGTGCCTTCTATTGACACCTCTCAAACTGTTTTTGTTTTCTCTCATCACAGTCTTAAATCCTAATACCTTTTTTGAGATATCTACATAATAGAACAATAAAAAGTAGCACATAATTCTAAACTGAAGGGAAAATAAAACATATTTTAAAATGTGTATTACTTAAAAGGAGAATGCCAGGAAAGTTGATGTTGCAGATCTTGTCAATGAGGGGAAGTTGTGCAATAGAATACCGTACCTGGTTTGGGTGTGGTATGGGGCAGAGCTTCATCCTCTAAAAAGATCATAATCATATGGTCAAAGCTACACTAAAATTGTTTAAATTACAGTGTTTTCCAAGTTTGAGCTTTTTGCACACTGTGTACCAGATTTTCACAAGGTTCATCCTGTATGTATTAAAAACACTTGTAAACTTGTTTGCAAGAGCAGAGGAAATTTTAACACCAGGAGCAAAGCAATCTGCACATGCAGTTACTGTAAGCAGGTAGTTGGTAGCAACTTTAGTTGTGATTATGCAGATCATATTCGGATGGCCAAATTGTGAAAGTGCATAATCCTTCAAACAAGAATCAAGAAATCCCAGGATTTCTTGTTTCGCTTGATGTTCCTTTATCGGAACATTAGCCATCAAGGTGCAGAACAAGTTTTATGAATGATATCTAATCTTTCAATTTTTTCTTAGCCATGTTCCTCGTTTTTCTGTTCTTGGCTGCACATAAGTGCACAATAAAATATATTCTTCCTTGTTGCTTTTAATTTTTAAATATCATTATTACCAACATGTTGGTGATAATTATAATATATATTTAAAAATTCAAAACTAAATTTTCTTGATTGAATGGGGAGAAACCAAATCTGTTTGCATGTGTTCTCTTTTGCACATTTAGTCTTTGTGGATAAATTACGACGCACAATCTAAGAGCAAGTGCAATTTTTTTGTCCACACAATTCAACATTCCCTTTTTAAAGTCATGAAAGATCAGGCCCAAGATATTCAAAACTGGAAGAAATTCATCCTCAAGGACTGACTGCAGTGTTTCAGTTTTCTTCCACTTCAAAATGATGCACTTTTTGTGTTGAACAGTCAGTAAAAATCCTTGCAAAAATATTTGAACTTTGTGTTTTTGTCATGACAAAATGGGTGTTAATAAAATTTTACAAGGAACTGTAAACCATGTTACTCATGAAAAATCAAATCAGTAAAAAAAATACTAAGATATATGAATAGATTTAGGCCTAATTCCAAATGAGATTACTGTACCAATAAAAGCACAACTGAAAAATCAACTGAACTAAACAACATAACTGGAATATACATTATTTCCATTATTTGAAATAAAATACATAAAACGGGAATTCCAACAAGAATACAAAATGCACCCAAAAACCCAAAACAGAAAGCCTAGGCAGTTCCATGCTTGAAACAAATATAACCGTATAGATAGTTAAATTAAAACCTGCTCACTTTTCTGAGAGCAAAACATACATTACTGTAGACAAGTAATAAAATATTTCCTTTTCATACAGTTTTTCTCTGTTTAACTCAGGCACTAATCTAACTGAATGCTGCTATTATCAACTGTTTTTTGCAGCCACTTACCTCAAGCAGTAGCTGTTCCTCTCCACAGAATGAGTTGTATCTCCAGAGGCCACAGTGTGAGCTGTCCTGCTCTCACCTAGGAACATAACAGATCATGAGGGAGGGCAACGTCCTCCCTGATCATTTGTTAGGTTTCAGTGGAAACTCCTCTTAGCCTTCAGAGGTTCAGTGAAGAAAAAGAAAAAAAGAAAACATCAATTCAGTCAATATGTTTACTCAAATTATCCTGTGATCTTAAGTCGTTCACAGAAGACTTCAAAGAGAAGCAACTTGAGAACTAATAAAGAAATCCTTAAAAGCGAGGACTTTCTTTCACAGACCCCAGTAACTTTCTTATTTAATTGTTTTTTTTTTTATTCCTGCTTCTGGTTAGGTTGAGTTGTTGTCAGGGTTTTTTCTGGAGCTTTCAGTAGCTCCCTTGGCTTAATTTGTAAGAGTAGAGTATTCAGATATGGAGCACGTCTGTCCTTTATCTTTCCCCAGTGCCTGAGCTCAGGTAGCAGAACAGGTGACTGGCTCTCAGGTTTCAGGACTTACATAAGAAGTACCCACTACACCAGACATAAATGGAGGCAGAGACTTTAAAAAGATCCTCTTTACATCTCTCTGAAACAGTGAAGAAAAAATTACATTTTAAGATAGCAAAAATACACCTTATTACTACAACCATTCTATTCTTATCAGCGTTTTTTTTAAGAAAACTCTCTGTTTCTTTTCAAAAGCTTTTAAATAGCAACTTATTTCCTCCCCCTGTGGAAATAAATAGACCGCAATGTGAGCACAAATAAAAGAAACACAGAAGCAAATCTATAAAAAAATGTAAATATTCTGTACAAGAGGGAAAGTGCTGAATGTTCAATTCATTGCTTTATTCACAAATAAAACCCAGCCAGATTAGGCTAGAATTTAAATTTCAGTGTAAAGGAACACAATGTTTACACTTTATCACTGTTGAATTATTTGATTATACAAGAGAAAAAGAAATAAAGCAAAACATATTTCAGTCTTGTCAATACTTCCGACCCTGTGGTGTTTTGAATTCTAAAGGAAGCAATGTAATGACCATGCCTCTTACTCAGAGATGAATCTAAAGGTTACTGCAAAACACAATTATAGAGGCATAGTCACATTCTATGCCTATTTAAAAAGGCAAAAAACACCTAAGCATGATAAAATAAGGTTATATACACTAGATTTCCATTCAGTGTTTTGATAGTCCTTTGTAAGCCTAACTAGACTTTAAGCACCAGGCTTTAAGAGAAAACTAATGCTACGTTCACAATGAATGGGATTTGAGCAGCAGAAGTGACTGGTTTACACGTAAAGTCAATGGTTGACACGCATCAAGGTCCCTCAAAAGGTCCTGTAGTGTCTCAAGCAGCAGGAGCAAAGCATCTTGATGCATCTGAGCAGCAGAAGCAGCCCCTTATGAGCATTTTAGCATCTTAGGCACGTGACCCGCTTCAGATGCAGCTGATGCTGGAGTTGGAAAATTTGAACTTTTAGTGCTCACTCATCACATCAACCAATCAGAGAAGCTAATATGGGGGCTTGCAGGGAAACAGACACAATGCTGCTCAGAGCTGTCAGCATAACGCCATCAGAAATGAATAAGAATATGTATTACAAGGTAAAGTGAGCGATATGATCCCTCCACTGAAGGCAAGGTAAGAAAAGTTTATTTCTATAGCATAATTCAGTACATGGACAATCCAAAGCACTTTAAATGAATTAGATAATAAATTAAGAAAAATATAAGAAAAATAAAATCAAAAACATTTATACAAATGTTTTTGATTTGGCTGATTGGCTGATCCCCTGCAATTAAGTGGGCTGCCATTCGGCTGTTGTTTGACTTGGAGGGGCCACTTTAAATGGCTGCTACTATGGCAGTCTATTTCCAACAGTTAAAGGCAGCTTTAAACAAATGGGTTTTTTACTTTGACCGAAAAACTCAGGCTTTTATCACTTTTACAGTCTTCTGGGAGTTATTTCCAGATAAGTGGGGCATAGGAACTAAATGTTGCTTCTCCATGTTTGGTTGTAGTCCTGGGTCTACAGAGTAGACTGGAACTAGAAGACCTGAGTGTTCTGGGAGGTTAATACACTGACTAAAACATCTGTTATGTATTGAGGTGCTGATCCATTCAGTGACTTATAAAAGGATTTTAAAGTCTATCCTTTTGAGCTACAGGAACCAAATGTAAGGACTTCAGAGATAACAGGGAGCAGAGATTTGGATCAGCTGCAGGTGTATGATGGAATTTTTATGCAAACCTATACACACTTTTGGAGTATTCATTTCTACTAAAAAAAGATGCAAGAATTAGTTTTTCTAGATCACGCTTGAACATTAGTCCTTTAATTCCAGAGATGTTCTTCTGGTGATAAAAGGCGGAGGTTGTAACTGTTTGAGTCTATCATCACACCAAGATATCAGCCATAATCATTGGCTTTTAGCTGTAATAACTGAAGCTGTGGGCTAACTGCGGAACTCTCCCTCTTTGGTTTGAAAATTATTATCTCAGTTTTGTTTTTATTCAGTTGTAGAAAACGATGGTGCATCCACATATTGATCTGTTCTAAGCATCTGATGGGTTCATAATCACCTGTTGACATTGTGATGTAAAGCTGTGTGTCATCTGCATAGCTATTGTAACTGAAGTTATTTACTATAATCTGAGCCAAGACGGAGCATGTACAATAGATATTCAATAGGAGGGGCCCCAAAATGGAGCCTTGAGGAACCCCACATGTGATTTTTCTAGTCTCTGATTTAAAGTTCCCTACTGGCACATCGAAGTCCCTGTCCTTCAAGTAGGATTTAAACCAGTCCAGTGCTGTTCCAGAAAGGCTGACCCAGTTTTCCAGACATTCTAATAAAATCAAGTGATCAACATTATCAAATGCTGCACTAAGGTCATACAGTACCAGTACAGTGGTTCTTCCAGAGTCTGAATTTATTCAGATGTCATTAAATGCCTTAATCAGAGAAGTCTCTGATTAAGACGTTTGGCACGGACACCTGAGTAGAAGGCATCAAAGCAACTTGTAATTGTTAAGAAGGCACTTAACTGTAGAAAGACAACTTTTTCAATAATCTTACTGATGAAGAGGAGGTTTTAGATGACCTGTATTTCTGAATGACCAGCTTGTCCAAGCTTCTCTTTTTCAACAATAGTTTGATAATTGCCTTTTTAAGGTTCAGGGGAATACACCTGGCATGAGGGATGTGTGGGGGATGTGATTTGAATCAAACCAGACTCTTTTACCAGTGGGTAAAACGTCAAGACAGCATGAAGATGATCTTAGCTGCTGAACAGTTTCTTCTAAACCTTTACAGTTTATTGGGCAGAATTGGGACATTGTAAAAAGACAGACAGGTAAACATGTACTTTTAGTAATTAATTTGGCACCTTCAGATGTGTAATAGTAGAATGTATTCACTTAGCAGCATTTAGAAAGTTCATTCATCATCCTTTATTTTGGTAGATTTAACTTTTTCAGGTCCTTGCAAATCAGCCCTTAGCCTCTACTGATCTCAACTTGTTTACTGTTTTTCATTTTTCTGCTTCTACCTCAGAGATGCCGTGTCCCTGTGGTAAAATCCTGTCTTACGGCTCCGGAAATAACTTTGACAAATCATTTCTTCAAAGTTCTTAAACGTTTGTTTGGAAATCAGATTTCAGCTAATCCCATTAATAATATTTTCATGTCATATAACATAACCAGACTTAGACTTACATAATTTGCACTTCCCATCTATCTCATTATTAATGAATTAATTCAAGTATTGTGATAACTTAATGAGATAAAATATGTGAAAGCTTTCTTTAATCTGACCCTAAAGCAAGAGGCTCTCATTATGAGATGCAACCCCTTAGGGAACTCAGTGTGATAACAATTAATGTAGGAACTCATTATACTTATTAGAATTGATTTTATGTGTTGGTGTTTAGATTTAACAATAGTTTTTAGAGATTTAGGTTCTTACTCAACTGAACAATTAATGGAGTTAAATATATGTCAGCTGCACATGTGAGTCTTCTGTTCTAATGAACCCCATAAGTGCTTTACTGAATAGAGATTACAGAGAAGAGAAGTACAGGGAACTTACTTTCATTTGTAAGAAACCAGTTTTAGTAAGTGGTAGACTATTGCGTGTGCAACATAATTACAGTTTCCAAAAAAATACTATTTTCAAATCGCTGAGGCTCTCAATTTTTGGTAGCTAAATTTAAAAGGAGTGAAACATTATCTCTCACTTCTGCCCTTTAAGTGACAGTACTACACCTAGAGTGGCTCTGCTACCACATAGAAGGGAAGAGAGAGTAGCAGTTAACACACAAATCAAAGGCTCGATCTGAGTACAAAAAATTGTAAACCCTGCTTCTTGTTCCTATTACCGGTACCTGTTCTTTCACCCTTCCTGAAATGTAATTTAAAGAAGGATCATGCTAAAATAGGGAGGAATAATGCTAAAGGGACTAACGGGAAACATACAGGAACATTTTTTTCTTCCGTTCTTCCATACTGCCAACACTACTTGGACAGCACTTATCATTGCAAACACTAATGCACTTCCACTTTGGCTTAAGAGTCCTTACTGATTTTTTAACTATGGATCAAGACCATGAGTGCAAGCTAGAAGCAAGCACTTTTCCACATAGCAGTTAAGTCCCACAACAGTGCACTGGAAAGGAGAGCATTCAAAGCCATGAAACTCTAGAGCCGAAAAGGAAAGCTTTCTCTGTCATTAGGATGTATTTTATACTTGAGCAAGGCTATTTTGCACAGTTTAAATTATTATAACAGTAACCTTAGAAATTTACCATTTTAAGCAGTATAAGTTAATATGTTAATAACATGATATAATAAAAAATATTTTTTTTTACTGCACTCATGCATTATGGGGGAGAGAGTGACAAAAATGATCAGTTTCTTGCCAAACAGGAACCTAAGCTGTTCAACTCTGTTTCATCAGCATCGCTGATATAAAAAATTTCAGACTTAGCATATATTTAGTTATTAACATGAACAATTGTAATGTAAAATAAAAACTAATAAATTAGTTATCAAGTGTTTATAAATAGATTGATAGCATATCTATGAACTATTTATATGCCATCTATAAGGGAAGCTTCAATGTAAATTGATACCTATGAAGCACTACTGGGTCTATATCCATTCTTCATGTTGTTTCCTCTGCAGCAAGGCTGCAATGGTAAGCTAAAACTTGATGAAAGAACAAGCTCATAAACACTCTTGGAAGCTGCAGTATAAATGTCTCTCTTATAGTTTTATCATTTACTTGTGTCAGCTGAAAAAGCATATCAAGCACTGTCCTAAACACAGATCTTGTCTCGC